CCCAGCTGGCTTTCACGCCTAAGGCTGGACTAGAACTCACAGTCTCCTGGTTTCTAGCCTGGTGCCTTAACCACTAGACCAAACTGGCTCTTATTAACTATTATTGAGTTATTTTGCTAAAGTAGGTTCTAAAAACCCTGAAAATATTAGCAGCAATTAGAACAGAACTATACTGAAGCAATTTTTAGTCATTCTCACAGTACATTATAAGAAATGAATTCATCTTATCTGTTTTGTAAGTAAATCAAACCATTATGTTGCTTTTCTCTGCTCCTCATCCTATCTTCAACTAAAAACTAACAATGGGACACTACAGCAATTTTATTTCTAAATGTTTAGGAGCTGATACAATTAAGGCCCTTCCAAGTATCTGTAAGCAGGAAAGACTACTAAAATATTTTCCTCCTTGAAAAGAAAAAAATACACTGCTCAAGTACGGCAACAGTCACGTATGTTAAGTATTACTTGCTCTTAAGGTGAAGATAAACTATAAGTTGAGGGGCTGAATCTAGACCCCTAAGCCATTTATCACACATTAAAACTATGAGGGAGGCGTATCAGAATGTAATATGAGCCCTATCCCCAACATTATTCAGTTCTCCAAGCATGATGGAACAATCCTCTCGTGTTCTGCCAGACAAAACAGAACCAGCACTTCTTACTTCATCCTACACAGACCTCCTTAAGAGAATAGGGGTCCCTGTTTATAATACTATCAGTTTAGTGGTACTTAGGCTAGGGTTTGTCTAGTCTAAAAATCACTGAACGTATGAATGCTTGTACATACCTGTTCTACTTTGCACAGCTTTTCTATATTACTCTTAAATTTATTCATGCAGTCTTCAGCTATGTTAAGGTGCACAACTTGCTACAAAATAGAAAGGGGAAAAAACTATTCTTTTCTGAAATTATGCCAAATTAAGTTTACAATTCAAGAATCATTAACAAACAGTTGTATTTCATAAAACCAATCTGACGTTGTTTGGATTAAGTAAAAAGCAATCACATTATCCAATGTTTTAAGCAGAAACTGTTGCAACTATAGTGAACAAGACTTACATTACAGCCAAGCCATTATTTTACTTTCTGAGACTACAATTGTAATACTCAGGAAGAAAATAAACTCCACTGAACTTAGGACATACTGTATTTTTCCGACAATAAGACGCCCCCATGTACAAGACGACCCCCACTTTTCCAA